TTTTTTTTCTAATTACGGACAGCTATGGGGGTGAAAAAGATAAAATTTCTTGGTGACATTGAGAAAAATGGTCTGGTAGGGACAGCAATTGGTTTCTTGGGGGCGTTAAAGTTAGTCCGACATTTTACTACAGTGAGGCTTGCTGCTTTTTAGTATTGAATGTCGTTTTAATGGGAAACGATCTGCAAGTGATGATTTAATGTAGAGAAATTCATGAATATTTTACCCAATATTTTATTTTAAGCCGGTGTACCATCAGTGTTGTCACAAGACCAGTGCATTGAATCATCTTTATACGTGACTTTTTTGTATTTTTTAATATTATGAACAAGTGTATTGGTTTGATTAGCAACATCCCAACACTACTAACATTGTTTCTTTCTAATATATTTTTCAGTCTTTTGTATTTATCCTCATCCTATAGTCCAGAGGGTTATTGGCGCTTGTTCTGGTATGGTCAGCTTCTGCTTATTCCTTACAATACTTATATGTTCAATTTCAATCCAACTTTTGTCCCGATTAAATTCTTGAGGAAGTATGGCTGATTGCTAAAGAGTGCCAACTCCTGTAAGGTACAGTTCAACTCTGCTCAACTCTCTATTGCCACTATTGGTACTGTACTGTACCAAAGCTGAAACCATCCTGACAATTTCAAAGCCAACTTTACTGTAGCATAAGATGTGTTGCGTAATCTTTTAAAAGTGGTGTCCAGGAAAAGATATCTTTTTGCTGCCATAGTGGGATGGATTGTGTTCAGTGACATTGCTCTGATACTTTTGTGTAATGCTGTTTCCTGGCATTTTTATCACCTGGTGGAGTTAAAATGGAGTAGAACTAGAACATTGGAACAGATTCTAGGATACTGCTACGTACTGATAGTGATACTATGCTCATGTGGATTATATAATATCCCTGCAGACCAGCCACTTATCCTGATTTAACTTGGAACTCTATTTTCTGAAATGTGAATGTCAGATCTAGTTATTGACTTGCATACATTTTGTGGTGCACACATTTTAACTAAAATTAGAATATTGCTTTAACATTCAGAGTTTTATACTCTCTTTTTTTCAGCGGGATAACGGGTAACAAGAGTTTATATGATTAATCTTTAGTACAATTTCATGTTGGTATAATTTGTGTAGGTCATGTGTTGTTGATCCTGATTTTTTTCCACGACAGAATGAGATCATGATTTTTATATTGCATAGAGTATAGAGTTGCAGGTCTGGTGTTTGTTCAGCAGTTCCTTTTGCATAGTGCTTTTTATTTTGAAAAGAAAAATATTAAGTCAAGAGGGTTATTCTGCAAGATTAATCCTCTAGGGTTCAAAATTGCTCACTCAATCCCACAATATTTGTGTTCTGTGAAAATATATAATTCTTTTAAACTATTTTAACATTTTAATTTGGCATCGGTTGTCCAATGGATAGGCTACCAGACAATCATGCGATTGCGGGTTTCAGCTCAGCCTTACGTTGTGTCCTTGGAAAGGCTTTTTTAGACAAATTTCCCTCAATTCATGTGAAAGGAAATGGGTAGCCTACATGTATCATGCCATAGGTAGCAAAAGATTTGTCTGTTAATGTTTTATCGGCAGTAAAAATAAAATGGCAACTTTCCTCGATTGCTTTTCAGTTTCAGGAAGCTGAGAATGTTTTAGTACCATAATTTTTGCAATGAAGTGAGGCCAACTAGCATTCATCAACTGTAAGTTATAAGCATGTACGTTATTATCATCAGGCTGAGAGCTGGGTGTGAAATGTTTGCTTTGTTATTTCCCTTTATCTAGGTTATGCAGTCTGCCTATACTATGCATTATGACACGCCTGTGGATATAGTCCACCAAGTAATATTTTATTATTTTTATTGTGGTATTTGTTAGAGATAGATCTGAACTTAATCTGGTATGCTTTATGTAATGCTCAGTACATGTGAAGTACCGGAAGTACATGTGAAGTACCGGAGTCAAGCGTTTTAAAAAATAATGTGTATATTTCATTTATATTATTGTAAATGTTATAATCAAGTGTGGTGCCCAAGAAAATGGAACCATTTGGTTTTTGCTGATTGTGAGTGTGACCCAATCGTCGGATTTGTAAGGTTATAACAAACCGCAGTTGAGATTGTCTTGGAGAAAAGTGGTTGTCTTTAGTTAATTTGATTGTAGTATAGTGTCGAAAAAACGCACGGGAAAAATAAAATAGTACGTAATCGTTTATCCAGGTGATTGTCTTAGACAGGTGGCCATCATAGCAGGTTGACAGATATATATTTAAATTGGCTGTAAGCTACATTTGCCCTTTAAATGTACTGTGGATTCAGTTTTCCTTGTGAGAAAAAGGGTAAAATCTGTCATAGTATAAATCTAAGTTGTCTTTGAACAGAGATTGTTTTTCTCACTTGTTTCTTCAGATGAAAATGTTACTTGTACGTTCACTGGGTTTTTCTATGTATCAAGACCAAGTGCACCATTTCCTTTTATGGGAAAGGCTTAGAAGGCTTTTAAAGCTTTGAATTCCTTTATTGAGAGTAGACATTGTTTTGTCTCGTGCACAAAGCTTCTACAGCAAAAGGACCAAACACCATGAGGTAATAGGGCCTATTATTATTTCACAAATTTGAACAAATTCTTTTTCTTCTAAGCAAAGTACTGCTTACTGATTTGCCTTGTGAAAATTTTGACTGTTTTCATCTTTATACTTTATGACAGTTAAGAATTGCTGTTTGAATTTTATTTAATGTTTTAATTAATGTTAATTTAGCAATACATTTTAGAGTTCAAGAAGTTTGTAATCTACGCTATTTTTACACTATTTTTACCTCCATACTCGTATTATTGATACCAAGCTACTTAGTTTAGTGAAGCACTCTGCCTTTCTCAGCACATTTTGAAAAGAATTTTGTTTATAGTAGAAGGTACAACTATAAAACGCAAACATCACTTTCCTTTAGCTGTCTTATAAAGTTAAAGAGAAATCTTAGTGTAGGGACTTCACATCAGTGCGTTTTTCCTTGTTGTTTGTCGTAATCAATAATGTTTTACTTTGACATGCAGCCTGTCAAAATGAGTCTTACATTGCTGAAAGTGAAAGTTACCTTAAATCTTCCAGCTTTGAAATATAGCAAATGTCAAATCCTCTTTTTTCAGTGAAGGCAAGAGGTGTCAGCTTGGTTTAAAACAAATTATCTCATAATCTTGAGCTGCATGAGTTTAATCCTTTTTCCCTGCCCAAGAGCTGTTACTTTGTGGCCTTTTAGTAGTAGCCGTCTTTTGGCAGATGTGCTGTAAATTACAGTAAAGAATCGAGTATGTTGACTTCAGACAGGCTCCTCTTGCCAACATTATTTTTCACTATTTTCAACAATCTAAGTAGGCTATCATTTTGACAAGCTGCAAATCAATGTTCCGGTTACCTCTTTCTGAGTCTAGTCATATTAATGCCATCGAATCATCACATATGGACCCTGCGACTCGCTTGCTTTTCTTGTATTTTAATATTTTACATGACGGAAAAAACCCAGATATATAATAAAGTAATTTTTATTGTGTGAGCCTACGACTTGCCTTATTTTGAGTGCGTTTTCTTATTTTTATGTGCACAAATATTCACATTCTTTCTTTATTGCCTGTGTTGAGGGAGGAAGACCCTCAGCGACATTTTGGAGAGAGCAACTGAGTATCAATGGACATGTCCGGAATGCAGGGATGTTGCTCCCTGGAACAACAAACAATCTGTCCCCATGGTTTTATGCATAATTTTTTATTTTCCTTTATCATTCTTTGTTAAAAATTAACAGAATCGCATAATTTCACATTTTTAAGCTCAGTTTGCTAGTTTGCGTAATTTCACAATTTTTCTTGCATAAAACAACGGGGACAGAACAATGGGGGAGAAAAAACAATGGGAAGCTTTCTTATCTTTCCTTTATCTCAGCAGCCACACGTGGTCCCTTTAGGGGATGGTGGATACTGATTCGTTTAGGCTACAAAGTAGCATGTATAAAAATTGAAGTGTTTGTTAGGGCTACATGTAGTGTAGATATATGTATATATAAGGTCACCCTTTAACTTTAACATAAAGTGGAGTCCGCTGAAACCAAGAGCAATCAATCTGAAAAAGGTGGTAAATTGACAGAAAATAAAATCCATAGTTTTAAAATATTTTGCTTCTATTTGAGTAACCTTGCTAAACCGATGAAAGTCTGGCGATCCAGCAGATTTCGGTTTAAATTAAATGGACATCACTGCATGAAATTTGAATTCAACGAAGTCGTCAGGCCTGGCCTTCAATTTCGTTGAATCAGAGTGTTCGTTACAGCAAATACAAGGTTTTTGTGTAGATAATTACAGGCACGGAGCAAGTAATGTATAATGTATTCAAAAGTAGTTTGTTTTCAAAAGAGAGGCATTTTCGGTTTTTTTATACCAAAGAATTGCTGGAAAATTGCAGGAAAATATTGCAAAAGGGCCAACTTGTTCAAATGCATACCTGTGTCATCTATCATCATCTAAAACGTATTGTTTGCCCAACAAGTTATGTTGCTGTGTAGAGCCTAGCATATGGCAACATTTGATTTCAGTCTAGCGCACAGTTCATTAATTACGTAGATCTAAGTCGAGATTAGCTAATCATTGTAATATTGATCTGTAGGGGTGGGGCAAAATATCTGGATTGCGTTTTTATCTCTACACTGACATTCCAATTCCATGCCCGGACCATTTGTACCCTCTCCCCCCAGACACGCTCACAACGCGTGTGTTGATAATGATATGAAGGAAGCCGCTGATTGGCCGAATCATAGAGCAGTTCACCCTGCAAGCAACTTCGTTGAATCCGAGCTTGCTCATTTAAGTGTTTGTTGAATCTGAGGGTTTTTAAAGTTGATTTTTATTGTTTAAAAAATCAGGGAATCCAACTCCTATCGTTGAATCGGTGTTCGTTGAAACCGAGTTCCACTGTATAGCACACACATAAGAAAGAAAAGAAAAGCCTGAGTAAATGGTTACCATTTTAATAACACAGCAGGGGTCTGAATAACAAACGAATGTACATGAAGCTTTTCGCAGAAAGCTTGATAAAAAAAACAGCACCGATTTTTCTAAGAAACAAGGCAAAAGGGACACAACCCTGCTGTCATCCTGCTGTATACAGATGAAGACAGCCATGAATTTCTCCCAGAACCAGAGAGCTACCCATCACTGCCACACTTGTTGTCTGTCCCGAGCGCACCCAACCGAGCAGACCACCGGTCACCTGGCTCCATATTGCCACAGATCCACGATCATTGACCGCTGTTACAAAACCCATCTCAGACCTCAGTTCTTCTAGCCTGTAAAATTGAGTTTGAGTCGTGAGTAAGAAACACATCAACACAATATTACTGTCATTTCACGCTATGGAGGTAAACAAAAAAGAAAGTAGACAAGTGTGAAGAAATCAGAAAAAGAAAATGAATGGAAACAGATTGGTGGACACACCTTTAAAAAAAAAACGAAAACAAATATTGCCCACCAAGCTTTAAGTTTAAGTAAGACGGAATTTTCATGGAAAGAGAAAAAGAAGGGAGAACGTAAAAGTTCTTAGAGAGACTTAGATTCAGGCACAAAGGGGATGGCATGGAAGTAGATGTAGAGCTCTCTTAATTTTCAGTGTATCAGTGGTCTATACTCCAGCACTTGGTGAAAAAAGCTTATGGTGATGGGCGCTAGGGAAAAATAAAACAGACAGACACAAACAACAGTGGAAAAGTGAAGGAACAGGACTTACCAGAGGCTTCCTCCAACCACCCATAGCTCATAAGAAGATGAAGAAGACAAAGAGAAATAGCTTTGAAGACATAAGCAGCATAGAGACATAGTAGTACACTTTGCAAAAATATCCATTTGTTAGTGATTGGAATGAAATTACGGCTACATAGCTACTAACTTTTCAAAACCAAGAAACGGAAAACCCATATGACGGTTAAGATGGCTGGGATTTGGTCAAAAAACATCCTCATCAAGCAGATAATTTTTCTTCAGCATCGGCAAGTCCATACAGAGCAATATTAGAAATAAGAGAATACGTATTTTACTTTTACGATACGAAAACACTTAGCAAGTTGACAGAAGGCATCATAGAGCTAAGAGTCTTTAAGCCAGTGATATTACATTGGGACTTGTGAAAATTACTGAAAATTTACCAAGTAGCATTTGCAAAATAAAAAGACACTTAAAAGACACAAAACGCAACTATGGTGTTTAAACAGATAAATCCTGAGAATAATAACTGTGTTCTATTCAGTGAGAATAAGACATAATGAAGAAAAAAAAATGGTATCACTTAACAGCATCTTTGGAGGGGGGGGTTTTTTGTGTGTTTTTTTTTTGCCCGTGCCAACACTTCAACATTTGTAACTTTGTCACGCCACGAAATGCCTAAGATCTTGCGGCAGCATCTGAGATGGAAAATGTCGAGGCGCTTTTCTTGTCTGCTGTACAAGGTCAATGTTTCAGATCCATAAAGGAGTGTGCTGAGGACACATGCTGCAGTGGAATCAGGCGCTCTTCAATTGTTGGGCATATGAAGTTACTGGTATAATCTTAGAAATCTAGAGCCAGTTTATTTGCCTTGTTTCTGGTGGGAAAAAAAGTTCTCTACCTATTTTGAATAGATGGTAAGATATTTGTGTTTAAATGAGGTAGGGGGTTGTTTGGTTTCTGAGGTAAAATTAGTGAGAAAATGACCGCCAGAGTTTGATGACTTCCAAAGATTGAGTGTCTTTTGAAAATGTGAATTTACATTTATTGTGCCTTTGATCAACAGTTTTCTATAAAAATCATGCAGTAATGTCTTTTTAAAATGGTCATAAAAGATGTTATGCCCAAAATAAAAAGATTTGATAAAAATTGCCCATCGTGGGAAAAAATGGTATTTGAATACACCTGATTTCACAACGATGCCTCACATATCAAGGCATATATATCGGAGTTGTGTTAGCCTGTAACATTTCAACAAGAACAGATTATTAAGACAACAGTAACATGTTGTAAATTTCTGAAATATAAGTTTGTTTTTTTAGTTTAGCATGAGTTCTATAGCCCTTGCAACACAAAAAATTAATAGAAGTGCTGAAGATTTGAGGTGTTACTAGAGGGTAACGTATTAAAAAAAGAAGGAGGAAAGATAAGGAGGATAGACGTATGATCGATACCGATGGGAAACAAGGAGAAAATCTCATCAGAGCACTCCCAATCATCCACGATAAGTTTATAAAGGAGAAGATCACATATAATGTATGATGAAAGCGCCCACCAACCATCTCTACTCCTTGTCAAATGTGACTGTATGTGAGAAGCTCAAAGATGAAAAAGGCAAAGGAGAACACAACCTGGAATGTGTAACGTAAAAGCCCCCACACAAGGTCAATGCATTTAACTACAAAAAAAGGTCAAATTAACAGCTCACTGTACATTAGATAGAAAACAATTCACCTTTTCCACATGTTGTCAGGGGTGTCATAGGTCTTCAAGGTCACCATCTGACCAGACATGGGGTTCAAGGCCACAGAGCTGCCCCAATCCGCTTCTTCTGACCTCCAAGCAACATCCAAGATCAACACACCCTAGAGGAGCACAGGTACACTGTAAATAACACTTCTTTGGAAATGTAACTGAAAAGTATCGTAATAATAATAATAACAACAATGCAGATAATTTCTAAAGCTTCCACTCTCATACAACAATACAGCTCTAGGTGCTATACAATTACAATAATTTTATCTTAACACAAAATAGTTGTAACAACATGTTTGACTGTAGACTGTATCTTCATTTATCAGCATGGGTGTTATATTCCGTCAATACTGTAATACTACAGCCTGGGATGATTCTAACTGACAGGGCCGAAGCTACATATCTCCAATATAGGTCAAAAGGAATTCAGTAACAATCATCAACCAAATCTCCTCATGTATCATCCCCAATCTGAAAAGGTGCACACTGGAAAAGTTTTCAATTTACATTTGTTCAGATCAACTCACCTCGCAAGATCTAGCAGCCAACAGGCGTGTGAGGCAGGGAAGTGAACTGGATACGTTAATCCGCTTCAGCTCCACCCCAAGAGTTGCATTCCTGGGACAAGATTGAAGTTGGCGATAGAAAACAATCATATATATTATGAATCGAATAAAAACAGAAAAAGGATTTATATATATATATATATATACTCCATTACCATTATGAAACAATAGAAGCCCAGTTCCTCTAAACATCGTATCTACAGAGAATGAGACTCACTCAAAAGTGACAGAACTCAGCCTGCCATTCTTGTGATAAAACATTTTTTTCCCCCTTTTATTTGTTCTAGTAAGAATTAAAGGCACTTGCGACACAATAAGGTCCCGTAAGTGCCGAAGATTAGAGGTGTTACAAGAGAGTAACAAACATACAAAAAAGAAAGCAGTGAGATGATGACGAATGTTCGACAGGTAAGAAGGAGTAAACCACACCAGAGCACCCACTAACCACCCACAATAAACGTTTAGATCTTCTCACTCAACCTGGTTGTGAACCCGTAGCAGAATCTGCTTTGAAGCTGAAAGAATTTGGGCATCCTTGAGAAGAGGTAAACAGGTACCTTCTGTTCTACTTTACTGTTCAGAAATTCAAATAAGCCCAGCTTTTACTAACCCTATCCGTACGTCGTGTTTTACTATCGTATCCATACGACGTGAGGAACTCTGTACCACCACTTTCCAAAGAGGAAATTACTCGGTAACCCGATCCGTATGCTTTGCATAGCAGTCTGTCAAAATGATTTTTGAGAAATACTGAAAGTTTCAGAGATCTTCGTACTAGAAGTATTCTAAAATGTGAAGAATACAACCCTGGGGGTACAAAATGACCCCAGGGCGTACGGTACAGTAAAACATAGGCCTTGAATGAACTTGACTCACCACAACAAAAGCCTCTGATCAGCTGTGAGGCCAAGAAGTGCAGCAGAGCTCTCCCCAGAGATGACAACCAAGTCCAGCAGCTGACCACGACAAGGTCTCGACACAGTTGTCTCCCTAAGGCAATGACCGGGCGTTGTGATGCTCACATTTCTCACGGCGTATTGGTTCATAGTGGTCATTCCGAGATGTAGGCTGGACTCAGATACAGGACAGAGTAACACTGCGCTGGGCTCACTATTGATGTTTTAAAGGTTTAAGAGGAAAAAGTAATTTAATCACATAAAAATGAATCTGTTTTGTCTTTTTATGCAATAGTAAGTGATTTACGCACTTGCAACACAATTATAAGTGTCGAAGATTAAAAGTGTTACGAGAGAGAGAGAAAAACAAGCAAAAAAGGAGGAAAGATAAGGACGATGAATGTTTGACTAGTCAAGAAGGAGCAAACCACATCAGAGTACCTGCCAATCACCCACACGAAATACTGTATACCAGAGAGCAAAAGAAACGCAAAAAAACATTTTGGCCATCATTAAATAACCATCACTGGTAGAAGACTGAGGCGTTTCTTGGCCTCAATTGATAACAAGCTTGACTGGCTTCCCCGCGCTGCTCTTGTGCATTAAAAAGTACATCAAAGAATGTTCCTCTCAAGGAAATTAAGAAGTTTTCATGTCGATAATAAGAAAATGTCCCTTTTATACCATCCTATGGCATGCTATTATTTTGTATTTGCTTCTGGGCTGGGAATTGTACGGTGAAAGATAAAGAAAAATTCGACAGAACCATTAAGAAAGCCAGCAAGATCTCTGGACATGATTTGACTAAAATTGATGAAACATAACACCTGAAGTATAAAAAAGATAAAAAGCATTATAACCGAACCATCACACGCACACCCCCTTTCCACGCAAATTGCAAGATCACGCAGCGTCAGATATGTACCTCTAAAAACAAAGAAAGAAAGATGTAAAAGAAGTTTTTTGCCATCTAGAATAATGCTATGGTCACAATAACCATCAGTAGTAGTAGTAGTATAAGGTTTTACGGCGCTCGCAACTGCTAAGGTCATATGAGCGCGCGAAACACAAGTTGTTCACCTCTGCGA